TCATACATTAGCTATGTGCAAGAATTTGTTGGTAGGGTATCATCTTTGTCTCGTGTGTTGTGTATGCATGTGTCATTCTCTGAAATATTGATCATAATCATAGTAGTCATAAGGAGATAATAATGAGGAGGTGTGCTGTCATATTGCATTTTCTGTTCAGTTCGTTGGGCCTCTTGAGTCAGCTCTCTCCTGTTCCCTCTGCTCACGTGTTACTACTTGCTGGTAAGTCCCTTCCAATCCAGATTCAGCTGGTAGGCCAAGTCTCTGGATTGTCCGTATAAGACAGGCTAAATACGTCGGCACCATGCTGAACTACGAGGGAACCTTCTGCATTCCAGCAATACTTGATTAGATGGTCTTAATTTTTTGGTTACTGGCACTAGCTGTCTTTTCTTGGCAAGAACTGAGAAAGGTAAGCCGCTAATGTGTTTTATACGCCCCTCCTATAGAAAGTAAGCTTGTTTGAGCAGGGCCCTCTTCAACCTATTATTCCTGTAAGTTTTCTTGTAATTGTCATATTTACTGTACAACCTTCGAAAAGGACTTGACCCATGGATTTGGATCTGTTCATAATGGCGGTGATTTCTATTCTTAACACACAAGCAGGAGCAACATTTGAGACCGTTTTGCCAATAAAAAAATAACAAATTAGGCTTACTTCAATATTCATGTGGCAAAAGCATTTTTTGAATTTAAGAAGCCTCAAATAATTGCAGTAAAACTGCTTTAACCTCAGCAGAGTCTGATGATGTCATTGTATATGGTGAACAAAAATCAAGTCGTGAGAGAGTGCAGAGAACGGAAAACAGCTCAATTAGCCTACCCTTCTGTGGGTTCCCGCTCAGTTCTCAAGCTGGTTTTAGCTCATCTTGTGCCCTTACAGAGAGAACCAGGCCATGCACCTCAGACTGATTCCACCCAAAAGGGCAGAACAGATCCAAAATATAGGCCGGCTCTTTCTGCATGAGAGATACAGCAACCCCAGATGATTGTTTACACTTGTTAGGCATCATCGGTGAGGTATATCCAATACCCCTCTAGGCACCGTGAGCAAGGTGTCCATATCTGGGTTACCCTTTAAACTTAAGGAGAGCAAAAAATCACGTGATTGCAATGACAGCATTCTGACAGAGTTCCAGAATAGACGTCCATTGTCGCGGTTACATGATTCCTTTTACACACAATAATTTGAGTTAAAGGGACACTCCACTGACCAAATGCAAAATAAATTTTAAAAAAATAATGGTTTAATAGATATATCCCAAATGAAAACTTGCACACATTCAATTATGCATTTTTTCCATTGGAGTTATACCTAAAATAGCTTGCAAAACTGCAGTTCTCTTTTGTCTGCTATCTTTGCAAATCCCCCCTTCTAACCTGCCCAGATTTTTTGTGGCTGTCCAATCACAGACTTCCCAATGCAGCTCAATGCGAAGTCTTTGCAATCAGATGCTCTTGACAGTTCTGCCTCTTGAGTTTCTCCACTGAGCTAAACAACCAGAAAGCAACAGAACTGACTGTCTGATCGACTGTCTCTGTGGCGTAACCAGGTTAATCTATAAAAAGAGGACACACTTCAACTCAACTTTGGTTTCATCTGTCCACAGAATATTTTGCCAGTACTGCTGTGGAACATCCAGGTGCTCTTGTGCAAACTGTAAACGTGCAGCAATGTTTTGTTTGGACAGCAGTGGCTTCCTCTCTGGTATCCTCCCATGAAATCCATTCTTGTTTAGTGTTTTACGTATTGTAGATTTGCTAACAGGGATGTTAGCATTTGCCAGTGACTTTTGTAAGTCTTTAGCGGACACTCTAGGATTCTTCTTCACCTCATTGAGCAGTCTGCACTGTGCTCTTGCAGTCATCTTTACAGGACGGCCACTCCTAGGGAGAGTAGAAGCAGTGCTGAACTTTCTCCATTTATAGACAATTTGTCTTACCGTGGACTGATGAACAGCAAGGCTTTTGGAGATACTTTTATAGCCCTTTCCAGCTTTATGCAAGTCAACAATTCTTAATCGTAGGTCTTCTGAGAGCTCTTTTGTGCGAGGCATCATTCACATCAGGCAATGCTTCTTGTGAAAAGCAAACCCAGAACTGGTGTGTGTTTTTTATAGGGCAGGGCAGCTGTAACCAACACCTCCAATATCATCTCATTGATTGGACTCCAGTTGGCTGACATCTCACTCCAATTAGCTCTTGGAGATGTCATTGGTCTAGGGGTTCACATACTTTTTCCACCTGCACTGTGAATGTTTACATGGTGTGTTCAATAAAAACATGGCAACATTTCATTCTTTGTGTGTTATTAGTTTAAGCAGAGTGTGATTGTCTATTGTTGTGACTTAGATGATGATCAGATCACATTTTATGACCAATTTGTGTAGAAATCCATATCATTCCAAAGGGTTCACATACTTTTTCTTGCAACTGTAGATTGAATAATATCTGATGATATTCGCGCACACACAGAGCCTTCAGGGACCCTTTTTAAGCGGTGATTAGTGATGTCCCGAACGGTTCGCCGCGGACGGCGAACATATGCGGTAAACTTTGGCCCTGTACCTCACAGTCAGCAGACACATTCCAGCCAATCAGCAGCAGACCCTCCCTCCCAGACCTTCCCACCTCCTGGACAGCTCACTAAGAAAGCAGCTTCACAATGAATGGAAAATGGATGCTGTCCAGGAGGTGGGAGGGTCTGCTGCTGATTGGCTGGAATGTGTCTGCTGACTGTGAGGTACAGGGTCAAAGTTTACCGCATATGTTCGCTGTCTGTGGCGAACCATTCGGGACATCACTAGCGGTGATATAAACACTTATGAATGGCAGATGACAAATAAACAGACTTTGCTTAAAATATTAGTTTAATAATACACACTATAAAAATGCAAAGCATCAAAACAATACAATTATAATCAATTTGCTATGTTATATAGGAGTCCAAATCAACAAGTCAATTCATTTACTTGACAAGCCTAAAAGTCCACATTATACCTCTTTTTATCTACAAGTTTATCAGTAGAGGACAATAAAACATATACAAACTTCACAGCAGAACTCATAAGCATAAGGAATTAACAATATGACACCCCTTGCATTAAGGATACAATTGTTGGTTTATTAATTAGTTTAAATATCAACCAACCCTGCCAAGTATATACACCACCAGTTTAACTACCATAACCTGGAATATATAAAGTTTCTAATAGCCTTAGTATATATATTGAACTGATATACCTCTAAAGAAGGAATAAAAAATGTTCCAGCTTAATAAGTTATATCTGACTCAGACTGCAGGTAGAATGAAATAACTGTTCTATCAATAGGATGGGATCAGTTAACAATATATATACATAAGGCATTTAATAGACAAGTTTATTTAAAATAAAGTAAAGAAAAACCTTTATATGTTACTAATATGGTACGGCGAATTAACTCAGTTTGGGGTTCTGGTCTGTAACTCAGTCTATTGCCCTTAGCCAGTCAATCACCTGATTTCTTAGCCCTGTGGGTCTCCTTTGATCTTTAAAGATGATTTCTAGATCTTGAATGTCTCTTCTCTTATTTTGATCCCTATTTAACCATTATTTCTCCCTTATCAGTTTCTGCCTCTTGTTTGTAAATGGGCGGTACCTTGGGCTTAAAACTGGCTTTTGATTGGTTATGGGCGTATCTTTTAATTATTTTAATTAATTATTAATATGGCCCTTAGGGACTTTCATCAGTAGATGGCACTATTTCCCTAGGTCCCCCTCCGGCTGGGCTCTGGGGAGAGGAAGGGGTTAAAATCTTACCTTTCTCCAGCGCCGGGCGGAGAGCTCTCCTCCTCCTCTCCTCCTTCATAGCCACGTCATCAGTGCGCGCATTCAGCCAGTTCATAGGAAATTGATTTTCACAGTGAGAAGCACGCAAGCGCCTCTAGTGAGACAGCCACTAGAGGCTCTAGAGGCTGGATTAACCCTATTATTATAAACATAGCATTTTCTCTGAAACTGATATGTTTATAAAAAAAAAAAAGAGTAGCTGGACCAGGCACCCAGACCACTTCATTAAGCTGAAGTGGTCTGGGTGCCTATAGTGGTCCTTTAACATTACCCAATATGCCTATCATTTATTCATCTAACCTGCACAAATAACCGATAAATACATTCATCTATACAAAATCAAAGGCTATTAGTGTGTGTGTGTGTGTGTGTGTGTGTGTGTGCGCGCATATACATATACACACATATATAATTCCCTTTACCCCTATATTAGTCAAGGATGGAGTTTAAACATTACTGTAGAAATCACATATTTTAGGGTACATTTGTAGATCATGCATGGTTCCAGTATACTTAATAAAGTTCTCTTCCTTATAATAAGGAATAGAACTTTCTGTGAGACTTTGGGTCTTGTGGGCTGGCAAACAACTTATTGTTCCTTTGGTCCTTTGAAGCTCTGTGGATTCTAGGATTTTCAGGTGGGAAAGTCCATCTTAGTAATGGCTCATTGTTCACTGTAATCTTTATACACGTATATCTTAGGGTGTAAATGGAGATAAGAATTTCTCCTGTTTACTTTTCAGGGTTGTTAAACAAAAGACTAGTTTGACCTTTGTTTAGTGAAGCTAAAACAATGTTATGTAATGTCCATGCAAGTCTACCATCATCCATCTACCATCATCCATTTTGTTTTCTGAATATTAAAATAAATATTGTTCCAAATAGCACAACAATACACGTACATGGTTGGCCTATGGACCTTTATGAACATGAACTATTACAAAGCAAATCATATGCCTGGATTTTGGACCATGTTTTCTCAGAGTCCTGGATGTGAATGAGGGGAGCAGATAGGTGCTGTATGCACAATAAAGACAAGAAATTTTTTTAGTAACAATTTATTGGAAATAATTAGCAACTGATTCATTTATCTACAGCGTAACAACAGAATAGTTTTTTTTTTTTTTAAAACACAAATATTTACAGAATACAGCTTTTGAAATTTCTTTAGCGCATTTCCAGGGTGTTCTCAAGAAACTTGCCTTCTAGATCAGTTGGAATTCACTGTAGAACAAGAGAAGAAAGCAGTGTTACACACCTTTTGCACGGTCAGACCGAATTTTAATGGCACTCCTTCACAATCCACATGTGAGGAATGAAGGGGTACCCCTATCTGCTACCCTGCCTAGGGCTCCTGTGGGATATGAATCCTTCTTCAGACTGAGTAACTCCATTTAGTTTGTTTTAATATTAGTTCCAGAGTCTTATAGACAGAATGTTATGAGTAGTACCTTTTTGGTTATAATGTGTTGCTTATCTGACAAGAATGTAGTTTGTTATGGCTTGGTCTTCTGCTGTTTAACTGATCCCATCCTATTGATAGTTTATTTAATTTGTTGCATTGTGTCCTTCTTTATAACACTCTCTATGCAGATTGTATATTTGTGAGTTGGAATTAGTCTGGTCATTTCTGATCTACATCCATTTACATCATAAACAATGGGTTTGTTCCCCTACAGAGTAGCATTTCACTGGTTAGTTTATATATATATATATATATATATATATAAATAAAAGTCACTGCGGCCGTTTAATTTCTAATTTGTAGCTTAGATCATGTCTTCATTTAACAATTTGTTCAAACAACAAATAAATCTGTAGACTAGGGCTGTCAAACATACAACACGTGCAGTCCACAAATTTGGCCAGCTATCGAGCCCCATGGCCATATAATAAAACATCAGACCAGGCTCCTGTCACATTGTTAGTTTACCCCCATTGGCTTCCGTGAAAAGTGAGTTTAGGTCACTTCCTCCCGGGTTGCTGAGAGCCATGCAGGGAGGCAGGAGCAAGTACACACACAGGGAAGCTTGGAACCTCGACGCCAATGAGCCATGACCAGTCAGCTACCACTAGTCACCAGGAAGCCACCCTCCTGCACACAAAATGTAAGGAAACAGGAGGGTGACTAAAACTAATTGTTTCTTATACATGTGTGACTGTGTGTATCTCAGTATTTGTGCATATTTGTCAGTGTGTGTATCTGTGTGTGTGCATATATCTGAGTGTGTGACAGTATATACATTCTAGCATTCAAATGCTAACACAGCACAAAATACACCACTGAATACAAATACACCCCTACATTCAAACACCAACAATGCACACAAATACACCCTTGCATATGAACACTACAAACCGACAACTGTATTTTCCAATGCTATGCACAGATACACTTTTGCATTCCAATGTCAACCCTACACACAAACATCCTGAAATCAAACGACAACACTACATACAAACACACAACTATTAGCGACATTTTAGTTTTCTTTTTTGTGCACATGTGTATAAATAAATGTTATGCATTTGGAACTTCTAACTATTTTAAGGCACACTTTGCCCTGTTAAAACCAATATGTTGACACCCGTGCTTTACACCATGCCTCGTGTTTTATATAGTGAGTTGCAGCCATGTTTGTTCATTTTGTTAACCTAGCATATGTTCCTAAAAAGGACCCACTAAGTGTATATTAGGGAAAGACGCTGACACTTTTATAATATCCTTCATGAGAATTCAGTGTTTAAAAAAAAAAAAAAAACCAAACAGCAAAAACAATATACTAACACACAGTGGTCCACTGCCACTTACCAAACCAATAGGAAGCCGCAAATCCATTGTAGGTCACATGGGAATCAGTGTGAAACTGCACCATCATCACATTTCCAGAGGACACTAATGCAGGGGGTGTATCACTTCCACAGTATGTGCCCAGTACTGGACCAGTTAACATGGCTCCATCAATTATAGTCACGTAGTCATTTGAACAGGGGCTTGAAGGTTGTAATATGAATGAACTAAAACACAAATGTACCTGCAAAAAAAAAAAAAAAAATACACATCCTGATAAAGAAGAGAATATTCACCTGTGAAAAAGGGGCAAAGGGTGTTGAGCCTTTCATTTTATATTCCTATTCTACATTTGAAGGAACACTATAGCTCCAGCCCTCTAATTAGTGCTTCAAGTCCTTTAATTAGTGAACTAAAAGGTTTTGGTGGTTAGGAGAGGAGGGACAGAACTGCATGCATTGCTAAAGTGCCTACAGTGTCCCTTTAAATATAAAATAATTTGGGGAACCAAGTTGCCACTATTTTTTTTCCACTTTGTTTTCACTCCTGTTAAATTTGCTGTCAAGAAACAATCATTTAGTTCTGCAGAGTGAATTGGAGGATGATGGAATGTATTATTATACATTAGAAAAATGATGGGAACCTGTATTTTTTTTGTTTTTTTACTATGATGTTGTTTAATTACTGTATAATGACTTGCCTCTACGTTAACCTCACCCATCGCCCAGCCTCTTTTGAAGTGATCATGTAAGTCATTTTTTAATGTACAACAAATGCAGACAAAATGTGTTCTTGTGTAACTACCTCCATGAGCACATAAAGTATGTTCAAATACGTGTATACCATTTACAAGACTGTTTCCTGGTTCATGGTTAAGCCATTTTTGTGATTTAGCCAACATAAGGTGCCACAGATGCTCTGCCGCTCAGCTCCTGCTCTCCAGAATTGTTAAAGTTGACGTTCTGCTTTAGCAAAGTCCATTTTCCTCCATATTTTAAAGTAAATCATTGGCTGACTGTGTCAGCTGACTTGATAAACCAATTAAATGCTGTACACTTTGGGTAAGATTGATACTGTAAATGAGGAAGTGGAACTTAGGCATGAAAAAAGGCTGAACAGGTTGCTAGGAAGCTGGATGCCTTGGGACCTACAGGATGGTGTGTGCAGCCTAAAAATACCATTAACACTATATGTGTGATTGTAGTGCCAAGACAGACTCTTTATCCATAAGTGCAGCTCCAGTGTTATTTGTAACTGTCTTAGCTCATGATTACATTTTGGAATAGTTTTATATGTTTAATACTCAATATGCAGTCTTACCTTAGATCCAACTGGAGCTATAATGGTCCAGAGGCCATCAACATTGTTGGGATACATTTTGGGATACTGCGGTGAGAGCAGAACTCCATTATCCTTGGAAAATGTTGCTCCGTAGGACACTGCAATATAAAAGAAAATTTAGCAGATCACAACATGATGCAATTTCTCTTATAATTATATCTTCAATGAGGTTACATAAAATGACCACACCCCAGAAGAAAACAGCTAAATATAAGGTAACATTTATTCTACTATTGCACATATTAGCAAATATTACAAAACAGATGGATTTTCATGAATCTGTAGAAGTAAGGTTTTTCCTGAAGATAGTATTGTTTAAGTCTAAAACATGTTATAACCTATTGAGAAAAAGTGCAGCTATAAATTTCCCAAACACCACAGTGTCACCATGGAGAGGTTTATAACATTGGTAGAGTTCCGTGAATATTTTTACTGGTATATTAGAGAGCAGCTTCAGTCCTGAACAAACATTTTATTTCTCATCGAAGCAAATTAAAAAAAAAAGAACACTTACCGGTAGTATAGGTTGCATTCCATTTTGGTGTTTTTGTCGTTTTGAGTTGAGTGCTTCCAAACTCCAGCAATATCTGATTTCCAGAAGAAATTATAGGAGGGAGTGTCACATTTCCACAAGTGTTGTTCAGGAGAACCGGTGCCAGTGTATTGGTTCCGTCGTATATTTTAATATAATTGTCATTGCATCCATTAGAAGAAGGGACATGAATGTCACTTAGTTGGAGATACACCTGGTTAAGGTAAAATATAAAGTAAACATGGTAAATAAGTATAAGTAGTAGAAGTAAGGAAAACTATCGCCTTCCACAGCATTCCTTCACTGCTATATAAGCAAACCTCAGGAGCTGTGCTTATATTCGTTTGCATCGCTCTTTAAGGAACTAAGAGGTATGTGTGTCTGGCAATGATGGCTGATGTCAAAACAATGTGAATGTGCTTTGGATCAAAGCTGAAGGGTCTTTGGCCAGGTAAGGTCTGCTCCTAACCTGAATGACCGCAATCAAGGAGAGAATGACAGACGATAGTTTTTATTTAACAGAGAGATTCCTTTAATTTGACAAACTGAATGGCTATATATGTGTAGTGTTTATAGCTTGTAAACACATGACAGAACCGTGTCTATCTTATGAACTTGCAAGAATTAATCTGTACTTCTCCAAAACAGCATTGTGCATGAATTTACTCTACAAGATAACCATTAATTTAAGGGAATAGCATTGATTAAGTCCTATAAACCATGAATAATACGTTACCTTTTTTGGGACTTGGATCAACCAAAGGCAGTTGTCACCATTCAGTCCTGGTAAAATATCATCAGTCGAGAAAGATCCTGAATTATCTGACAATTTAAAACGACACAGATCTGAAAAAATAGATCTTGATAGTTAGAAGGTGCATTGAATAGAATATACACTTAAAAATACAATTAATGCAACAATTGATCAAGCAATGATTGCATTTTCAAATTGTCTTTCACATTTCTCTAGTCAATTATTTAATGTACTTTGCAATTAAATGGTTTTGTATAATTTACAATTATTTTCCAGAAAGATGTCTAACAGAAGGGTAGTCACCATAAAAAGTAACAAGCCGTCCTTTTAGTAACAGCCGTCCTTTTAGTCCCAAACACCGCAGGTTTCGCCAATGCAGACAGTTCAAATTACTTCTGCGTTCCTAGTCCGTGATGCATTTCGCCACTCCTCTTGGGGCTTTCTCAAACGAGCAGTTATCTCTATTCCCGAGGGCGGGTGAGCGGGCTGGGGACAGTTACTATTTCACAATAACACTTCTGATAAAGCCTATCCAAAGAGTAATGCGTTAAGTATATTGTTTATAACTTTATCACTATTTTATCTTATTTACTGTATTACTGTTATTATTTTTTAATATTAAAGCACTTTTTTTGAAATTGGACCTAACTTTGCAGCTGTTGGATTGTTTGGAGCTATATCAATGGTGGGGGATCATACCACCCAAGCGCTTTGGATTGAGCAAACCAGAATTTGCTCTTTTTTTATGAGGATACCCCCTACTACACCTATAATTCAAAGAATTCAAAGAATTACCTCTGAACTTGATCCATAGGCGAAGATTATTCCGCCCAGGCGCATACACTGGAGCTGTATTGAAGCTCCAGAAAAGTGTGATCTTTTATCCTACCTATCACAGCTACAGTTTTAAAATATTACACTATTATTTCTTCTCTGATTCTCTCCACGTATCCCTTGTCAAGGATTACTGAAGAGCTGCACCTACCCCCCTGTTTTTATCCAGTTTTCTGATTGGAAAAGAGATAATCCGTATTGGTGTTTGAGCTGCCTGTGGACTAGTTTTAGTCCTATAGTTCTGCCTGTTTAATAAATATAAAAAGTGTTTTTCTCTCACAGGCCACGTTGCTGTATCTACATGTATGATTATAGTTTGCTTCTACATGTGAATCTGCTGTTTGACATACATATATAGATAATTACTCACTGCATTGATAGAGCTTATTAATCTTCATGATGTCGAGATGACTCATTCCTATCCTCTGTCCAATAGGTGCTGTGGGATCAGGAATTGGAATGATTGTAGCTTGTCCTGGTGTATTGGTGAAGGATGATCTGTAGGCAGAGGTAGATGTTGGTAAAGCCCCAAGAGTAATTATAAATGATCACAATGTCATAGACAGTCTTCATTGTCTGGAATTTGACTTACTTTTGATAATGCATCACTGAGCTATAATCATAAGGAAGGCCAAGATTGTTGGTGTCTTCTATGTCAAAGTTGCCCTTTGCCTCTGTGAATATTAGGTATAATGTAATGAGACATAATAAAGCTAGTTTTTCCATGACTACAAAACAAAGCAGTTAAAAGTTGCAAACATTATTCTCAAAAATATTTACCACAATCTTCTCTAGCTATCTCACAGATCTTTATATGTTAGCCTTTATTCATCTCAGCTCTTAATCTTTTACCAGCATATTTACAAATCTCACCTGTTTTTATGTACTGCCATATGAGTTTAATATGGTTATCTCTGTCACTTCTGGCATGCTCGTGGAAAAACCCAAGTGAGTGCATCAGTTCATGTTGGATCACCCCATAAAAAATGCAACCAGATCGGTCCAAGTTAACACTCTGTCGACCACCAAACTTTCCAATGTCTGACCAGCATCTATGAAGCAACTCAAAAAGTTATTATATTTCAAGTATATAAACATTACTTAAGTACGGGGATGGTTTGAATTGGTAAACACTTTTACTTTTGGACGAAGGGCAGGTCTAGAGTCCAACTTCAGGAGGAATTTGTGACAGATTCTAAAGTGTGGGCACAAAGACATCTGCACCTCTAGAAATTTATTTTTACATTGGAGCAGTTTAGAGGTATGATAGTTATACATTTCCATGAAAACTACTGCAAAACTACAACATATGTTTAATAATTGTGTAATTTATTTTATGGATCGGCATATGCTTGATTAGAGTATGTGTTACAGATAATTTTACTTCCATTTAATAGTGGACAAGAGTAGTAGTAATAATATTAACTGTAATAATGTAAAATAAACCATTTGTTTCCACTATATTGGGCACAGTTTGTGCTGAGACTCACCCACGCTCAGTCTCTATACTGATATGGTCTCTTTCTGAAGTTCTGCTGACAAACTTTACACAAGTCATGGCTTCAAACTCCTTCATGGCAGAAGTGATCACAGATATATCTGAATCAGCTGAGGAGAGATGGATTGGTTAGTTACTGATATGAAGAATAAATTATCTCAAACATTCAAAAGTAAATAATAACTTACTGAATTTTTTTGAAATAATGTATGGGACATAAACCATTCCATTTGGAGAAATGTCCCAGATGCAACCGTCACAATTAATGGCACTGCGGGCAAAAGGATAAGCAATGTCACCTCCTCTTAGGGGCATGGAAATACCTGGTGGAAAAGCAAATAATTAGTAATATATATATAAATATAATCATAACGCAAACTTTACAGATCTAAGTCTCTAGATAGAAACATTCTTTGGATACTGAGAGAACCAATTAAGGAAGCCAACCCAGTGGGCGAAATGCATCTCGGGAGCCAAGAAGACACTTTTTAAATTATCATTGTATATGTTTTCACGTGTTTTTTATTTTTATTTTATTAACGTATATATTGATTTTTACTATGCACGTGTGTCTCCTGGCCTGACAGTCTACATTACTGGCTTGAGGAAAAAGGGGGTTTATCACTCCATAATTGACAACTGTTTCAAAGCTTGGAGCCAGCATATTGGGGCTCCAACAGCAGGTGAGCAAATTACCTTGTTTGCATTGCCACCTAGAATTTAAGAAGATTTTATACTATGCTCTGCATTTTGGGGTCTCCTGTTGCATATACATCTTCTTGGAGAAATGTGAAAAATTGAAAGAAGAGCTTGGGTTGCCACCAAAGGGCACATCAAATTTCTACATTCAGAACCATAACGTCTAAAATTCTCTATAATTTTGAGCATTTATATTTCCTACATCTATTTTTATATGCACCTATTTTTAAACAATGTTACACTATTGTATTTTTTTTTTTATCTTTCCTTTTATGACCCCCTATCTCCTCTGAGACAAAAGGGTAGGCCCTTGTCCATCTGCAAAGTGTTTTTAAAATTAAGCGCTGCACTTTATACCGATGTGCTTATTAGGTTCTGATGTATCACCTAAACATTGAAGTTTGTATTACTTGTTTGGAATTTTGGGTTATCAGGAGTGCTACAGCTGCTATATCAATATACTTTGTTTTATTTTCTGTTTTTGTAATATAATATAAGCGCCCTTAAAATTCACACAAGTATTTATATTTGTTTTTAGACTTTGACTAATGCAAAGGGATTCCTAGTATACTCTAGATAGAATGATAGTGAACTTTTTGAAAATGAATGTTAAAGATATATATTACACAACACTCACCTTCATTCACATCCTCTATCAACTCAAATATTGTTTTAGTGTCATTGGTAACAATAGGGCTGTTTCCTGAGGAGGAAAGATAAAACGTTATTCACCCAGTTTGGCACTCATACCTCATCTTCTTTTGTATTACAATCTGTGAGTAGCCGATGTGACGTGTTGTAATTAGACTTCTCATTGACATAGAGTCAGTGACACATTTATATTGGTTACTAAGACCAGAAAGAAACAAAACTGATGAATTATCATGAATAAACAGAGCTGTTGAATGATTTAATGCTTACCATTAGTATCCTGGTATGTATCCTGAAAAAAATAAAAAGCCAAATAGAAAATATGTAATTCCAGAATCAAATTGTTAAAATAGACATTTCTAATAAAGTAAAGGAAGCTAAGGTTGGGTAATTTCTAGATCCTCCGTAATCATACTTAGATCTTCAATATAGTAAGGGTAAGTTACACTCAGCATTTCTAGAATCATGCAGTAAGGACAAAAATGCATTCAGTCTACACAAATCTATATCCTAAGGAGAAAGTCCATTGACATTTTTCTAGATCCCTACTGAACAGAGAAAACAAATCAGATGAATACAGTATAAATAAGAAAAACACCTTCACTTCCATATAGCGTAGAGATGGTAATTTTCAGGCATTTTCAGATTTACACACTAAATAAGGTAACATTCAGGCATTTTTAAATATATACAGGTTATGTGGAGAAAGCAACATTCAGGAGTATCCAGATCCAGATTAAATTGACATATTCCACAGGTAGAAAGGATGAAGATAAAGAAAAGATGAGCAAATTGAGAATAAGATAAGACTGAATCTGACCATCTTACAGCCATAGGTTTACCTGTATAGGGAAAGACTGGTAACGTGTCCATCCAGCAGCAAATATCACTAGAACCATGAGCAGCTCCATTATGTCTGTGCAACAGGTTTCTTGTAATATAAATGGTCTATAAACAAGCACATTTATACAAACTGGGAGAAATGGAACAGCCAATGGGCATGCAGGATTACCCGTGCTAGACACACCTAATTAACATACAAACAATGGTTTATTGGAGAATGTAAATGTTCAATAACCTGTTTACTGGTGGGTGTGTGTTTCAGTTTGGAAGATGCCAGAGGCTTTATGTTAGAATTGCACACTTTACATTTAAAGTAAAAAATACTTTTTAGGAGAAATTTCAACTTTTTGCAAGCAGTGAACTCGAGTGAAATTGTACACCATACGATGAGAAAAGCCATGATTAAAAAAATAAAATAAAAAAAAAACATTTTTATTTCTTAACCTTTTTATTTATACAGAATTCTGAGAACAGAAATGATATATTCAAATTTTAACAATACAAAATGGTGAAAATGTGTTATTGACAAGCATGAGTATACTTGACAAATGATGGAAAATGCTCCTATCGGTGTACTGCAACATATAAATATATAATATTATAATGTGTATATTTCGGCAACACACCGATTGGATAATTTTTGTGCCCATTTTTGTACTTCTAATTCATTTTCCAAATTGGAACTTTGCTTTTGAAATTCTGCCGAAGTCAAATATAGCAGGGTTGACTCATGATTCTGAATTCCACCCATGGCCCTGAACTATATTTATTCTCCATATACAAGAATATTATATGTATGATTTTTCATAGAATGCACAAAGTTATGGATTAGAAGCCTAGCAGTAATATTAGTGATAAATCTAGATTTGTAGTAAAATATCCTCAATTTGTATTTGATAAACTAGCTCCTTAACATGGTACACAATCCTATTTTCGATTACACAAAACTGACAAAATAGCATCTGATAACCTGGGAACATGAACAAATATGTGCATTTTAATGTCCAATTAATGTGTTTATGGTTACCTTATTGGAATGGCTGTGTATTGTGCCTGTTTATCTTTATGAAGTTTTTTTTTTTTACTTTATATATTTGTATATTTTAGTATAAGGCATACTTGAAAATGAGAGAAATATCAATGTTTCCTTCCTGGTAAAATATTTTAGAAATAAAATAAATTTTTCCCTTGAATGGGGACAGTTTTTCTATTGGTTATTTTTTCTCCTGTCATGATCAATCGGGTATGATCAATCGGGAATTGCAAGTTGGTTTCAGCAGGGTCTACTACACCTCTTGTGTCTGACAATTAGTTACTATTAAATAACTCGACTGTATAATTGTAAAGTATTGTGGAAAATGTTACCACTATTTACCCTTTACTAAGAATAATAAAAGTAATGTTACTTAAAGTATTGAGTGGATTTTGTTGAAGTACTATTGTAAATCCTAAAGATTCAATGATCAACTCCACTGATTAACAAAGTTAAAAAATAAAATAAAAAAAGAAAGGTATTTCAGTACCCATCAAATTTTAGTTTTCAAATTAATTACGTTGTTATTATGACAGCATTCTGCATTATAAGTTTCCTAATTGTATCTATTATCTTATTTATAGGGTGCATATGTTTAGTAAAAAATGAAACTAGAATAATAGTAATATGTAAGAAATAAGCAGTAATATGTTTAAGTTCATTATAATTTTGTTGCCTATGTGTCCAGGTAATGGCTGAACAAAAGACTTTAAATCCTAATTAAGCCAATTGACAAACAATTTCAGTGCCTCGAGTTGCTAATAATACCAATACACACTGATCTTCCAGATACACTAGCAGAACATGCTGACGCCTTAAAGGTTTGCCCTTAAGGAGATGACGTCTAATTCTTTTTTAAACAATTGTACAGAAAGTCACACGAGCAAAAGAAACTTAAACGTTAATTAACTGGTTTTCCCGGCAGAGGATGTAAATTATGCATCGTCACCATGGAAATTAATTTTGTTAGTAACTTACCTCCTTCATTATGTTATTTCACAGAATGGACAAAAAAACATGGTTAATGGCTAGGGGACCGTCACTAAATATATTTTTTATTTAATAAATGTTATTTACTGATTTATTTAATACATTTTATTTACAGATCAAATGAAGTGAGCAAGAGGAAAAAAGGATGAGTAGTTAAAAAAAACTCTATATTGATATTTATATTTTATATAAATTTAAATATTTAAGATTTTTTTTTACAAATAAATATATAATATACCCAATATATAAAATTAGATATTTTTTTCTATTGGTTACTTTTTCTCACTTGATCTGTGAACCAAATGATGGAAAATGCTCCTATCGGTGTACTGCAACATATAAATACATAATATTATAATATGTGTATATTTTGGCAACACACTGATTGGATCATTTTTGTACTTCTAATTAATTTTCCAAATTGGAACTTTGCTTTTGAAATTCTGCCGAGCCGAACCTACATCCAGTGGAATTTTGGGTGTCTGTCCTGAATAATGTATATAAAATGCTAGTTTTTATTTCACAGAATGCACAAGATATGGTTCAAAAGCCAAAAGATAATATTAGTGAGGGGGCGTGGCCGGGCTGTGGAGCTGAACAGTCGCACATGCTATGAGCTCCTGGGCCCGGGTCTGAATATTGGATGAAATCCGGGGCAACTTGCCCAATCTTGAACCCCAACTCACCTTAATCTGCTCCACAGTAACTGGCGAACCGGGGGATACCTTGGACGCCCAGCATACCCGCCGGAATGACCGAACTGAGGCGTGGGGCCTATGCCAAGCAGAGCAGGGGAGAGACGGCCGCTCTCCCAGCTCATAAATACAAGCAACGCCAGCAGCACTTGGCTGCCTCTCCCCCCCAGGACCGGTGGGGGTTATCCCGGTCCAAACTTCCTGGACTGGCACACCTCGGTGGCCCTTAAACACAGATAACAGCACCAACCAGGCAACCAGTATGCAGGCAGCCCGCCACGCCAATATGGCGGACGCGCAAACATGTGGAGGAGAAGAGCCGTCAAAACACAACCCCGAAACAAGCGACTCACTCACTACCCGCCTGAATGAGCTCTTCCAAACCTTCTGGGCACGAGTCAAGGCCCGACAAGCGGCGGAGCAGCAACAGAGGCAAGATAACTGGAGTAAGGGGGACAATCATGTCGAGGTCGACCAGAGTGGGCCTGGGCTACCCTTGGGCAAAGTCCTGACCAAGCAGCCTTCACCTCACCACGCTAGTCCATCCGGGCTGCAGGCCACCAGGGGAATAACCACGGCGCATCAACCACACAGGCGGAGACCGACCTGCAGAAAGCGGCGCAACACCAACATAAAGGCCTCCAGACCAGTCCCGAAAGGGAAGGATCCGGCCCCCAGAGGTACCCGAATCCGTGGCTACAAAATGCCGGCCATGCTACATGCCCGGAGCTGGAGGGTGCATCAGGTTAACTCTCGGCCGGCCGCATACCAGCGTGAACCCCCAATGCTGCAGACACGGTTCCCACCTGAAGGAATGTGGTGAAAACCCAGCAAGCTCCCCCCACGCTCACTAATGAACGCTGCCCAGACACCCATGTACACTGACTCTGCATACCTGGATTTCTCACACGTTTATAACTGTGATTATGTCTCTGCTATCTCACTCGTTCACACAATACCACAGAGGTACACTTACCATTGATTACTCATCGCAGATAGCCATGTTACACACTTACCTACTCAACCTACACACACGCATGTCTATCTATGTTTGTAACTTAATCTTAATCTTAAACTTTAATCTTGCACAATGGGTGTTTAAACCTGCTTTTGAAATACTATTCTAGCCATGTTACACACTCACCTACTCAAACCTACACACACGTAATCTCTTTTCTCTGTGACACAATAGATGTCTAAGCCTGCTTTTGAAATAATATTATGCAAAGCTTCCATGTCACTGTCTCGTGAGAATGTCACTGTACATGACTATAGTTAAGCCTGTTCATAATATAAAAATGTGCATACTGTTCATCTGTCCCGCATGTTAAGCGAGGAAAGCTTGGGGACTGCCGTTGGGGCACCCCGGACCTACCTGTATAAACTTTGTGCACCGCAAAAAAAAAAAATTAAAAAAAAAAAAAGATAATATTAGTAATTCATCTAGATTTCTTGTAAAATGTCCTCAATTTGTATAAATGACTATTTCACTTGTTCTGTTAGTTTTCTGTGTTAAATAAGGACTTAATATCTGATTTATTAATGTACTTTTCTTTTGTTACTTTCTTTTTTGAATATTTATACTTTTGGTCATTTATCTGGTGTTTAGTCCTCTTTCAGAGGCTTTTCCTCCTTAGTTCTCTATTAATGTCGTAAACTAGTTCCTTAAGATTTTTTTAAAATTCTTTATTTTTGTAGTGGATTGTTATTCGATCTCATGTTAGCAAGAACAGGTCAATGTATAACATTATAACATCAAAAAGTGTAAGTAATCATTTCTTCAAACATGTCAGAAGTACTGCACAATTTTTAAATAGTCAGGAGTGCGGGTTACTTATAAAATCCTCTAATGTATAACAAGATATACGATGAAGCGTATATGGTAAAAGAAAGATTAAAGTAATTCCATGCTAGTGGACCATTTGTCCTAAGCTCTTATGTTACTTCCCATTCTCCCTTCTCTTTAAGGCTTATGCTGTGGTTTCCCATGGTTAGGTGCTCGATTGTTAAAGTTATAGGCATGCTGGGTGATGGAGATGATAAAATTTGCCAATTGTTGCCCTTGTGTTCGCTGCATGTTTACAATGTACCTATATCTGTATTGTTGGGCTGGTGTTGGGCAGCGCTTCGGCATGGCGATGTTGAGTCTTGTGTTGAGGCGTATAGCTTATGGTTTCTTTTAACCCCGTAAGGACCAAACTTCTGGAATAAAAGGGAATCATGACATGTCACACATGTCATGTGTCCTTATGGGGTTAAGGAGGTCCTATTATGTGTGCTGGACCTGGGACCCTTGTCAGTCGAGGGTGTGTGTGTTTGGAGTGTGTACTCCCGCTCGGTATATCGGATC